AATATAGTGATGAAGAATGTAAGACAGTTGAAAGTATAGAAGCTACAAGTAGTAATAATTCTAATCGAATTAAATGTGGTGATACAACGTATGCAGTCACATATGAAAAACAAGAAGAAGAAGGTATAATTTATAGTAAGACAAGTAATATTGAATATAAGAGTTATAAAGTTAATAAATGTAATAAGGGAAGTGAAACAAGTAGTAAGAAAGTAGTTAAGACAAGAGATAATACATATATAATTGAAGAGTTTTCAGATAATGAATGTGATGAACCAACTAGTGTAGAGAATATTGGAGACATTTCAACGGAAGTACCAGTTTCAGGAGCTACAGTAATTCGTATCGAGTCCGATGTTGAATGTTCAGTTAGTAAGAAAGAAGAAGCAGTTTTTGGAACATATATTAAAGTAGATAGTTGTGATGATAAAATGAAATATGTTATTTTAAATAATACCGTTATAAAATACGAATATAGTAGTGGAGAAGAATGTAGTAACAATGGAGAAGGAGAAGCTAATGAGAAGAAATATGGATGTGGAAAATGTGAAGATAAAGTGAAGACTATTTGTCCAGGAAACACACCATCAGGAGATACAAGTGATAATAATGATGATTCAGCATCAAGTATGATGATTGGTATTTTATCAGTTATTGCACTTTTCTTCTTTTAATTGAAGGGAATTAAAATATAATTTTTATTTTTATTTTTTTGTTATAAAATAGATAAGAAAAGAGGTCAAGATAAGAGTATAGTTGATAAAAGAATAATACAAATACATAATAAATGATAAAGAAAAATGAGAGAAAAGAGAAGAAAATAATACATAATACAAAGACAACATAGATAAGAATAAAAAGATAAAAAAAAGGTCAATTAATAGATTTATCCTCAATTGGATTTTCTTCATACTGAGAAATGATTATTTCACTTTCTTCATTATGCTCTAATAGTGTTATAGAGTTCATTTCTAACATGCTCACATTAGATTCTTCTTCTTCTATTGTGTTGCCAGAATTTCCTGTATAAAACATTAAGTCTTTCATATTTTTGAATAATACTTGTTCGTAGGATTTTGGAAAAGTCTAATTGTAGTTTTAGTGTTTTTACTCTTCTTACTGATTCTTTATGTATTAATCAATTTATTGATAATATTACAGGTATTATTTCTACATATATTAATTCTCTATTATTTCTTATTTTCTATTTGAATTCTTTGGAATTCTTTGTATTTATTTATTTATTTTATGAATTTAATTTAATTCTAAATTATTATCTTGACATATAGCAACATCTATAATATATCCTTTCTTTTCTGTAATATTTTGATATTATATATCTTATCTTCTATCATGGAATGAATTGTCACTAACCAATAAATCTTTATTGTAAGTTATAACTATTTTATCATTATTAATACATTTTGGAGTATTATTAAAATCAATTGAATCAAATTCATTAAATTGTGTAATTAATATATGTTTATATATTTGTTTAAACATAATCATGTTTTGATATTTGATTCTTTTTCATTACATCCTAACAATATATGACTAATAGATGCAATTGTGTTATGACAATGTTTACAATATTTTAAATCATCATTTTGGAGTAATTTTGATTTAATACTTCCTGTCATACTTACTCATTCTTGCATTTTTACTATTTGGAGGAATGCATTTCTTTTTATATTTAATGACATCTATGTTATTATTGTTAGTTTTTTATCATTAAAAGTGCCATTTGCACATCTTATATATTCACCACATTTCTTTTCTTTCCATTCACTTAAATATCTATCATTTAATTCATTATTTACCCATTCAAATATTTCCTTTACATCATGTTTTCTTTCATTTAATTCTATTACATTCATTAATTCATTAAAATTAATATTCTTATCAAATGCTTTCTTCATTCTTTTAATTATTCAATTTGGATTTTCTTTTATTGCTTCTATCATTTCTCCTATTCCTGTGTTTGATATTTGTATTTTAAATATATTCTTAATAATTCTTTACCACATTCATCTCTTGCTGACATTAATCACATTCATATTTCATTTATTTTAACATATAATATACTTTTTGGAATATTTCTACGGTATAATTGGAGTTGTATTAATAATTTTCTTATTTGTTTATCTATCTTCTCCAATTCTCCTAGTTTATATTTGATAATACTAAATCAATATCTTAATTTAGAGATTGTATCATTATTAATCTTTCTTATTGTATTGATGCTGCTGTATTTCATAGTGTTTAATGATGATAAAATAGAAGATACATCATTTAATATTCTTGTACAATATTTATTAATATTTATTTTATCTCCTATTTCAATACCAAGATATTTATAATGATTATCATTAGTTACTCTTGGTAATTCGGCTAATTCACCATTTATTTGACTATTAATATTAGTCATTATCCCACTCTTTTTTACATTGATTTTTAATCATATTCAATTAAATATTTCTTTAGTTAATTTGTATGCTTTTTCCATTTCATCGAGGCTATTAGTCATTATCTTTAAATCGTCCATATATAATATGTGGTTTAACTTGACTTGTTTTTCTTCTCCATTCATTTTGATATTTAATTTGCTTATTTGTTTATCTAATTGTTTAGATAATATATCAATAGATAACACAAATAAAAGTGGAGATAAACTATCACCTTGTATTATTCCTCTTTCTACATTAATCATACCCACACTTTCTTGATTATAATATAAATTAAGATATGTATTATTTAATATATATATAATATATTATTAATTACTACAAGTGGGATATTAAAATAAATCAAACATTGTTTAATCCATTGGTGGTTAATACTATCATATGCTTTGGATATGTCATAATATGTTTCTACCCACTTCCATTTATTCTTTATTAATAATTGCTGGATTATAGTGTTGTATAATAATCATTTTTTGATGCATATGTGTATTTTTTACATCAAATTTGATTTAATGATAGTTGTTTTTCAATTTGATTTAGCATCAATTGATTTTCTATTTTCATCAATAATATTGATGTATATATTTTTAACAGACAATTTAAGCAAATTATTGGTCTGTAATTCTGTAGGTCTAATTTATCTCATTTCTTATATATCAATATTGTTCTTCATTGAATAAAATGAAGAGGTATTTCATTAGGATTGCTTAACCATTCATTAAATAATTTTAATAAATATTTCTTTGGTTGTTCTAAATATTTAATCAAGAATCATTGTATTTTATCATTTTCAATTTAATTTCCAATTAACAATAAATTTAATATCACAATCTAATTCATTGGGAGTGATTATTGATATTCTATTATTAATTCTATTTTCAATTAATATTTCATATAAATTAATATTCAGGAAATCTATAATAGTATTACATTGGAAAAAGATCTTTGTAAAACAAAATAATAAAAATAAATAAATGATAGAAAGAGTATTGATGTTGATAAAACATGAAAATTCAAATCACAAAAGATGAAATAATAAAAATAAAACAAAATTGAATCTTCTTATCTTCAATTTTTTTTTGTTTTTTTAAAAAAAATGAAAAAATACTAAAAATAAAATAAACTAATTATAGAAAATAACAATATTATAATTTTATTATTATTATATTA